GGGACGGGCTCAGAGAGATAGATGTCTGTGTGGATGGTGGAGGTGACGGGCGCGGTGGCGGCGGCGGCGGCGGCGGCCTAGGCGGCGGAGGGCGTGGCGGAGGCCTTGAACGGGGTGACGGCGGCGGCCTAGGCGATGGTGGCGATGGCGGCGATGGCGGTGATGGCTTGGGAGGTGGCGACCTGCCTGCCGTCGACGGGTTGCGTGACGACGGCGGCGGCCGCTGCATTGGCGATCTTACCAGTGGCGGGGATCTCCGCGGCGGCGGCGGGCTGGGCGGCGGCGGCGGCGGCGGCGGCGGCGACCGCGGCGGTGGCGACGGCGGCGGCGGTGGCGGTGGCCGCGGCGGTGGCGGTGGCGGGCTGTAGATTCGCAGCGCCGGCGATCGTGTAACGCCACCTACGCCGGGTACCTGCCGCGGCAGGGGGCTCCTATCATTGCTGCCTTGATATTCCTCGTCTGTGCCGGCTCCGACGGCTTCAGGCATCCTGCCGGCACAGTCCGGGTCCAGCTCGTCCGGCAGGAAGTCGCAGTCGTCGTCCAGGCCATCGCCACAGGTTTGCTCCTTAGACTTAGACCTCCGGCACACGATTACCCTGGCGCCCAACCTAGGATCCCAAGATGTAAAGTTCATTGTAATTCCACTTATCGGATCCAGTGCGATCCCACGCAAAGACGTTGACGCCAGCAGGATTGTACGAGCGTACGGCGTCACCGCAGTGCCCTTGTAGCTGTGCAGCAGTACGTACGGTCCGTTCTCCCATGACCGGTACGGCAGATCGAACAGCTGCGTGTTGATGCGAGCGGAGAAGAAGAAGCGATCGCTTCCGATTTCAACCGCCACAGAAGTACTGGTTCCGGACATTTGCGGCGGTAGATCAATGGGCTGATACATGCCGTATCGAAGGTCGCTGTCCTGGAGCCATCTGTAGGGTCGACCCCACCCCAGCTGGTAGAGGTGAGGCGCGTTGGGGCAGCGGATGCCTTGGCCGCCCGTGGCGCCCATGGGGCAGGTGTGGTCGCACTGGTCGCCCAGGTCACATCCACCGGCTATATCAGCGTGCGCCATGGACAGTGTGTGACCAACCTCGTGAAAAAGAAACTCGATGCTGTTGAACACATCGCCAGACCACCAAATTAAGCCCGTGCCGTATCTGTTCACGCTGCTGAGCTGCCGTATCCACGGTCCAATGGAGCCCGATCCGGCGAATCCGTTACAATCTGCGGAGGAGGAAAAATGGGAGAAAAAAGGAAAAAGTAGATTTGGAAAGGATAAAAAAAGTTTGAAGTGGCGAAGGGAAAGGGATAAGGAGGAGTCGTCGCACTCGCCGAACCGCAAAGCAAATGTGGTGTATAATCAGGCAGAGGAGATATGTTGTGATTGGCCAGCATTGCCCGATGGAATAGAACATTATGGGCCAAGGCGTGTATGTGTGTATGTGTGTGTGTGTGTGTGTGTGCATGTATGTGTGCAAGTATCTGACCGGGCCTGACACTGGCCAGGGGCTGTTGCCCAGCTCCAACGGAAAGACCGCCTAAGCTCCTCTCTCCCGCGGACGGGAGAGGGGCCTGAGGGGCCTACTAAGCAGCCGAGAGCCGCAGGTGCGCTAGCTCCGCTCTCCTCCTCCCCCGGGCGTGTGCATGTGTGTGCATGTGTGTGTATGCGTGTGTGTGTGCGTATATTTGTGTGCGTGTGTATATGTGTGTGTATGTGTGTGTATGTCTGTGTATGTCTGTGTGTGTGCGTATGCGAATAGCCAAGTCCTGCTTGCCTGCCTGCTTGCCCATCTGCCCGCCTGCCTGCCTACCCATCTCCGTACCTGTCCGCGTTGTCTTACCCGCCTTTCAAGTCAAACCCCTACGACCCCCCGGGGAGGAGATCATCGCAGGAAGGAGTATAGCTTGGCCGGACACTACCAAAGACACCACACACAAGCGGCCCCAGCTGCCCACCTTCCTGCTGCCCACCAGGCGCCTTAGGTAGCACCCAGAACCTACCTCGGATTCTGCTGGAGAAATACCTGGGCATCAGGATCACCTTGTGGTGGTAATTGGTCGGCACGATGTTGTACCCCCGCTTCGGGTCGGTAACGATGGAGTCCAAATAGTAATGCCATTTCAGCATGTTGTCGTTGCCACACGTAGAGGTGTTAAAGCTGTTGCCGGTGGGAAACGTAAAGGGCACATTTAGGGTGCCTTGACAAGGGATGTCGATCGGACCCACCACATCCAGCTGCGATGGTAAGACCTGTCCGTAAGAGCACGTCCTGTAGTACTCCATGATCGAGCGCCCTTGGTAGCCAGTGCCGTTGTAAAAGTTCATGACGGCCTGCACAGGGGATATGGGGAAAGAGGGATGCGGCAAGGAGAGTGGATACACACATAAAGGTATACAAGTTATTTTATATTGAAAACAATACTCAAGCAGTAAAAATCCTTGGGGAGTTGTGTGTGTGTGGGGGGGGGGAGGAGACGTGAATGTCAGCTGAAAACCCCGAAATGGGGAGAGGGGACGGGGCGGGGCAGACAATAAGGAGGCAGAAGTGGATGAATGAATGGACCCCACAGCGGGTGAGTGTCGAGGTCAAAAGGGAGGAGATGGACCGCCACTAAGGTGTGTGTGTTCACGTGGGGCCGCGAACGAACCGACAACTTAAGGCGGTGTTGGGCCACACGGTGGACTGATTGGGCATGTTAGCATGGCGGCCCTGACACAAAGCTGTGATGGCCGTGCGGATGGCTGCATACTGTCCATACAGGCTGATTTGCCTGTATTCCCAGGCGACCGACCTATGGATCGCTTTGTTACATTGCTTTGCCTCCTTGCTCTAGGCATACGTGAACTGTTCGCGGGCTGTGATTGTTTTGCGGTCCTGGAAGTTGTAACCCGAAGTACTGTAACTAGAAAAAGGGAAGCCCGCGGGCCACGAAATCGCCAAAGACCACTTAAAGAGATGGATGGACCGCTAGTACAACCACGCACACCAAGCCAGTGGGGCCACTGTCAGCGTCGGTCACCTGTCCATGTGTTTGCCCACCCATCCACTGTCTTTCCACACTGCGTGTCGCAATGGCGCCTACCCTGGTCCTTCCCCCTCCAACCCTCTACCCGCTTCGTGCTTACCCTCCACACACCCGTGCGCTCCCCAGCCATTTCGACCCAAGCTGCCAAAACCCTGGGTGCTCTGCACCCCACCGCAAAGCAGTTCGGTGTAGCGTCCCAGCCCCTGGTGTGATGCGGTTCTCAGAGAGGCGCATTACAGACGGACAGGCTGGCTGTCTCGCTGCTGGGCATATGGCAGGAATGGCATGGCGCCCGACAACCGACACATGTTGCCACTGACCAAAAGGGAGATTGGTTCCCCATTTCTGGCTTTAGGCAGCGCACATCGATTTGCGGTCCTGTGCTGGGGAGGAGCATGTAAGTGTTTCGAGGAGCTCTGCAAGTAGAGCTCCCCCCAGGACCTCAGCGTACCAGGCCCCGCCCACATCCCGCCGATATCTCGGGCACAGACAAGGCAACGAGTCTGTCTGAGCCATGAGTGGCGCTCGGGATTGCGCGCCAGACTGGGTTGCCTACCGCAGGGGTGCTAGTGAAATGGCGGAGGAAATGGCCGCGGCAACACCCACTGGCCCCAAATGCAGCGATGGAGACTGTTGAGACGGAGACTTCCCAGTCCAGCTTGCGCCGTACTGGCTGTCAGGGAGCGGAGCCAAAGACATGGATGTACCTAGAATCGCCACCACGCCCCAAATTGATGAGTACGGAAGGACACACCGGCGGATATCCTAGTTTGGCAACCACCATGGCAACCACTTGTACTAAGGACGCACCATCATCGTCTGATGCCCGGTGCCCTTCAACTGGGAGGTGCAATGCAAACAGTGTAAAACAGTGGACGAAAGGGCGAGGCGGCTGTGCGCTCGCAGCAGGGAGCAGCGGCGGCGCCTGCTACTTGCTTGCCGCCAGTGTCGTGGTGGCGCATAATGTCAAGAGGGATTCATGAGACCCTCAGCTCCCACACCACATACATACATACATCTATCATAAGCACATAGATACATGCATATACGTACGTACATATACATGCACATACATATGTACGTATACCAAAGTTTGGCAGGGAGCATTGCTCCGTTTTTAAGGACCTTCGTTTGCCTGCCGTGTGGAGGCCTCAATTTTACCCTTCGGTAATGCTGCCCTCTGTAAGGCATATGTATGTACGGTAATCTGTGGTTACAAAAGCCAATTATGTGCGAGGTCGAGCAGATCTATCTTACAAGGCCGAAACAGGCAGGAATATAACGCTAATACTTAGTTGTGTGTTGGGCCCTTGGCAGCGTTAGTGAAGGTACTTTATGTACGATTGTAGACAAGCGATCTCAGATTTGACTTACGGCAGCAATGTCAGGATCTCTCTCACCTGTGGGGAGGCCGCCGGAGGCTCGCTGAAGCCACAGAAAGATACGATATAAATGAGAAACGTAGGCCTGGTTGGGGTGTCGATGGTGTCACCAAAGAGGCTGCGCCGCTGCCTGTCGACCGGCTGGGGTAGCCGACAACTAAGCATATTGCCGTTGGTGATATTGACGTAGTCGACTCTTACTATAGAGTTGGGCGCAACCTCATCGTGAACCGTTACATTTGCGCAGAACTCCAAACGGAACATCCTTCCCTCGCCGACTGTCAAGTAAAAACGAGAGCTGTCCAGTCCGTCGACTCTGGACATCAACAGCGCCGTGAAGGTTCCTGCAGATTGGAATTTAAATTTGGGAACATAATGTGCATTGAACCGTCGCATCTTTGGCAGTCACTTTTTGAGCGGCTTTTTAGATGGTCACATACCCGTGGCGGATCCTGGAAGGTTTGTGTTTAGCGGCTGAGCATGAACGCAGCTTAACATTATGAGCATTACCGCAACCACGATGGTCGACGGCAACGCCGATGCAAGCTTGCACCTGGGCGGCATGACTTTCGGTGCACTCCGACTAACTGGTAGACCAGGCAAGGTCCTTCTTATCAGCGGAGGATTTGTAGAGGTAAGAGACAACAAAACAAAGCAGGAAGCTAAGGGGCACCAGCTTGCAGAAGTTTCACAGCCGACCGAGGTGGGCCCATCCGTTGAAGTAAGCCCGATAGCAGGAAACAGATAGATGTGAGTTGTAATCAGTTCACACTAAGCATAACTATTGATTGCCCCGCGATGATAATAATGCGATGAGCCCGCCAGTATTAAGTCGATCTTTCGGTAGTCGTAGCGCCCTCTTCGCGTGTAAAGGCCTTAGTTTGGTGTAAAGTAATAAGTACAAAACTGCGTATTAAATGTTATGGTGTTGTATTTGTAGTTTCAACAGTTTCTTTAAGTGGGCGCCTGACGTCCCGTATTTATATGATCCAAATACGGCGCTATATTCCTGCCCTTATTCCTACACTGTGCAACAGCGTGGAAGTTAAAACTAACATTCCATTAAATCTGTCAAATGCCTTTCCTCATGCACTTCATTTGTATCCCCTTATTTAATCTTTTATTCTCAGAAAAGAAAGCTCAAAAACGCGTCAGTTATTTATTGCGTAACTGAAGAGCGAAGGTGCTGCTGGAATCTGCATTAGCTGTGACCATCCGCCGGCAACGGCCGGCATTGATCTTCAGCAGAGACATAAAGGATAAAGACGTATTATTTTTTCCTAAAAATGCGCTAACCTTACCGGTCAACGACTCTGTTACCAACAGTCGAAAGTGCTATGGTCGGGCTGGAACGGAAATCACAGTAGCGGGGAACTTTCCATACACCGGAGATTACCGGACAGTTACAAGATCAGTTTGAGACATAAAATGGTTTAATGGCATGGACTTATGCAGTCCCCGTGCTGGCGGCGGCACGCCAAAGTTGATGTCGCCAACACGCCCTGATGTCCGCCCAGAACTTTGGCGAGCGGGTTGCAACTCGAATCTGAGTTAGATCATGGCTGAAATATGAGTTGCACTTTGCCCCGCTGCTTCCTTTCAAAGTACTGTAAACGCCTCTCTATCCCCAAACCCGCGCCAGCCGCCAACCGCCGCCTTTATGGATCCCCCGACCCCGCAATTTTGGTCGCAGCCCCTCAGCTCGGTGCACCGTTTGCAAACAAAATCAAAAATTTTAACATTACTCGCACTGCCCTTCGCTGGAAGGGTTGACAAGCAGCCCCTCAGTTGCCCGCCTTCCAGGCTGAACGACTGCCAAGCCTGCTAGCTGCAGATGGTGCGGTACTGCGCACATCCTGTACAACAATCCTCAACCCCATCTTATGCTGCTGATAAGACAGATCGCCGGCCTCCAGTATTCCTCTGTTTATTTTGCACTAGTTGTCTGGTCCAACACTTCGTCCAGGTAGGCGCAAGCTGACTTGTCGCGCATGCCATGGCAGGCCCGCCCAGCTGACCAAAACGCTTGCGAGCCGCGCGATTACCGTCGAGGCTCCACGCCTTTCCGAAGCGCACGATATTTTTTAGGGTTCCAGAAGCCGCCCTCCGGAAGCGGCCATGGTTTCGGCGGGAAACAGCGACCTTAAGTCCGTTTCGGGTTCGGGGCAACGCGTATAGCATAAAAGTACATAAAACGGCCGCCATAGCACGCCAAGTTTGAAACAGGCTTTTGGATCGTTTCCCTGCGCCGTCGCGTTTATTCTTGCGCCCACCGTTATATGGCCTAGGGCGGCAGGGCGGATGGGCTGCTGTCTAGCCACAAAATAAGCACTTACTAATAGCAAATGTTACAATGACCCCTTCAGCATGAAACCACGACCTCACTTCTCATTCCCACAAAAATAAACCCATAATGCACATCATATATGTGAATGTCCTCCATGCTTGGGTTGCACAAGCCTGGAACCTGTTCATGAATTGGAGTCGGTCTCAGCTTCTATGGCTGTAACAGTGGCATTTTCAAGGTGGCACAGGGAACATGACTGTGCACAGGAGAAGGCTATTCGCACAGGAGAAGGCTATTCGCCCTAGACATAAATGAAGCCACAAACTGTCGTCGGATCGTCTGCGAGGAGCCAGCAACGCCTGTTGAGAACAACACACACCGCGGGGTATGATGTGTGAAACAGGGGGGTTTATCTTCGCCCGTGGCAGCTACCCTGCGAAACCCTGCCTTCCCCGGTATTTCGGGGCACCCTCACCCAGTCACCCTAGTCAACTTCTCAGTGGATCGCTCAGGTTCCGCACCCACCACCAGCATCCAACGGAATCTGCCGGGTCGACAGCGGCCAAACTCCATTCCTGGTCGGCTCGCAGGTTAATTTTATCCCAGGTCACCACCGTCCATCAACTAGGGGCGCAATGCCTTCCACCATCGGAAGGACTTCTGACCCTAATGGGTATCGATCCCGGGATCTCCCGGGGTCATGCATGTGGCATACTGCACCGTCGCGTAATTGCGTGCACAAACGAAACGTGAAGGCAATCCCACACATACAGCTTGCACACGAGGTTGCTGAGGTTTGCCAGGCATGGCTGCTGGGCTGTCCATTGACTTTCGCCCGCCATTCGCCAACCCTGTCGGTCCCCGATATGGGGGCGCAGTCGAGGACGTTCTACCTCCGCATGGATTCAGCAGGCGCCGAACGTTTCAATTATTATTGCTATTATAGAATATTCACCAAAATCATGTTCTTGCGCGGTGGACAGCTCGGAAGCGGATATTGTCGGCATTTTTGTAGTACTGCCCTCCAGTGCGCCCTTCCGACTTGCGCGATGACCTTAACGACGTGCGACTTCAACGGATGCACAGCTTTTTACGACGCCATTTGCAGAATCGAAGTCTTCCCTCCGAAGAATGTAGCTAAGCAATGGTCGGTTCAGAACAGCATAAAATTACCGTTATGGCTGTCTGCTACCTGGCGCAGTGGAGCCACGTAAGTGCCACGCAACTGTTGGACTGCAAAAAAGTGCAAATGAGAACATCCGCTCTGGAAAAACGCTGCGGCTTACAGGGTTGCAACTGACTTGCGAGCTGCTCCAACTTGACACAAGAAGAAAGTGAGAGCTCTGCTCTTCGCGGCAAGTAGCCGTAAACACCCCGAAATTGTATGCGATTGAGCAAATGCCGCTACTGCTACGTGTATTCAGGCCGGTGGCCCGGTATTCTGTCGGTCGGCAGGTAGGAATGAGATTGACGCCACCGATGACAAAGCAGTGCTTTCAGCCCTGCGAGCTCTGCAAAACCAGCATGCTAATATCACCACTATTATTGTTCTTATATTGATGCTGGCGCATAATGGAATACAATGGATGCAAAGGTGGATTGGTAAAGTAGCCTAGGCAGGCAAAATGGAAAATGACGACATCACGTGTTGGGTTCACTTGCTTGCTCTTTGCTACACGCAGCGCGCAGGCATAAGTTATGTCGATCTCTGCAATCGTGTCTGTGCTTCTCGTTTAATTTTTATGTACATATGTCTGCTCCAGATGCTTGATTTCGGTTTCACCAGCTTTACAGGTAATGTAGTGATGTCATAAAAGTACACATGCATACATACATACATGCAACAGGGCAACGAAAGATGTGGCCGATGGTGAAACGGACCGGCTCGGCAATAGCAGCTGCACCAGTAATAGTGCACCTGTGGAGGGATAAGAGAATTACCACCCTTAAGCTATGTATGTCTGTCTATAACGCGTTTGTTGCACCGGTGTTTTCATATGGGGTGGAAGCTTCCGGGACCTGCCTTCATTGTATGAGTTTCGAAGGCGCAATTGCTATAGCCCTCGTAGTCCACATGAGCAGGGCGTCTACATGCGGTCCGTATAAGGGCCGACGACCCCGGTAATGGTTTCCCTCTACCCCGAGATGTCACAGCGGCATGGGGCCAACCTTTTACCAGTAGGGGTTTGGAGCTCCACGGTTAAGAGGCCGGGGACGCTGAGTTTTGGCGCTGGGGACGTTACTGAGTGCTGGATGAGCAAGTTCCTACCTTTCCCCACCAGCTTAGGAGCGGAACCCCCCCACTAACATGCATGGTGATGACTCGTAACGCATTACGCCACCCTTAAGTTGCCCGTGGGGAGCATACGAAAAAGGACAATAAATGCTAAGCGGCTGGACACAAGGTGGGAGTGTCCGGATACCCTAGGTGACCCCCGCGCTTTTTCCCAAACGGAAGTCCCGGTGTCAAAGCTCGCCGCCATCAGAACTGGCTGGGAGCGCCCCCGCCTAGGGGCGTGTGTTTCGTGTGGCTGGCGCACACTGAAGCAACAATGCTCCAGCGTTTGCGTCAAGTGCTCATGCGTTTCCTGTTGGGCTGTTGGGAGTCAGAGGTTCATCGGCCCAACAGCCGTGAGTGCACCGCACGTACTAACTGGCTTTGTGACTTGTAGAGCAGTTGAAGACGAATTGCATGTGTTTGCGAACTGCCCTGCTTACATAAGCACGTGGGCTAAGTATGATGGTGATCTCGTGTTTCAAGGGCGCAGCATGTGCACCATTGTGACTGAGGCGCTGCCCCTGGCATTGGCCAGGCACCCTTCGGAAATTTGGGAGGCCAGGCACATTGCGCTAAGGCGATTCACTCTGAAGCGGACAAGGGAGGATGATAATCGGTCCCCGCATGCCCGCATCAATACCATTCTACCGTCCATGGGCCCCTCGGCTTTTATGGACACCACACTTGCAACTTGTAATAGCACAAGCGACAACTGGACTTGGCCTAGGGACTTTAGCTGCTAGTTGAAGGTGTACATCTGGCCCACCTGGCTTGGCTATCGGCTGTGGGCGGGTCTGGGCTCCTTCGCTTATCGCTGACTGTATGAGGCCATCCCTGTCCCTTGGCGCATCGGCATGCGGAATGCAGAATGCATTCGTTACAACCGCCTCGGACCAGGTACGAGTTTGTACATTGTGTGGCACACTAAAGAAGCCAACGATAACCCACGCAGTCAGATTTCACACACATTGCGATAAACCCAAAACAATACCCAGAAACAATGCCTGGCGCCATAGGCGATGTGACCCTCCGCGTTGCTCCATCCCTTCACGTAGCCTAATGTCCATCAAGTTCCTCCAGCCTTCCCACGTACCGCTCCTCCAACTGCTCACACAACCGTTTCCAACTGCGCCATATCTCCAACTACCGTCCCCCACAACTGCCCTGCAAAGACAGCTGTCCTGCCTCTGCAATCGCCGTTCCATGTGCTGCAGCTGTTTTAGCTAACCAGCACCAACCAGCTACTTGTCACGCACTACTCAGACAACCAGGGGTCGTCGAATTCCACGTCTGCTCTGCGTGAGTTTACGACCTGGCTTCCCGACACATGCACACACCTATGGGTGCTAACGATTCTTAATAGCCAACAACCCCTCCCCTGCCACCAGAAGTGTATTTGCGTTACGTACTCCGCACGCCTCCATGCGCACGCACGCCCACACTCACATTGGGAACAACATACTTTTCCAAAAATCCAAAGTGACCACTAATGTAGGAATCTGTAGGCGCCAGCTACTTCTTCCGTTGTTCTTGCGGTTATTGCAGGGACCCCGCGTATCCTCGCGAGTTCATGCACGCCTGGCTGACCTGAGTAGGAGCTCTGGCGGGTGGGAAACTATCCGCTCTTATAAGTTTCTTGGCAGCTCCTGGATTTGCTTTACCTTCAAGGCATCCTACCCTTCTGGTGAGTGTGCAACCCCCCACACGGAACTCTGAAGCAACCTGGATGGGCAGGACGCCCCTTTCCACGTGCACACCACTAGCAGATGCTCAGTAATGTTGCGTGTACCAAACATGCCTGTGTGCGTCCGTGAATGATGGCATGTATGTGTGCCCAAATTCAATCCGATCTTCATGTGGTTCTGCGATACCCATGAAGTTTGTGCCACTGCGCCAGCAGAATTACTTCTCTCTGCCGATGCAATTATAACCCCTGCACCTTTCCGTTCGCTCTGATGACGTTTAAGCATACAGCCAGAAGCCTGGGTTCCACAGCCACCTGTACTCACAGGCTTGCGGCGCTCCTCTTTCCTGCAGGACTTGGCACCCGATCAGACCATCGGGCAACATGACTTGCAAGTCATGTGGATACTTCGCAGGATGAAGGGCCATTGAATGTGAAAACCGTACATGGCCGTACATGGCCGTACATGGCCGTACATGGCCATCGCAGCTCCAAGAGATGGGTAGTAAGTGACATTCTGACTGAACGGGTTCAGCATGGCCTGGGAAGTTACGCAGTCGGCTGTTATGCGGGCATATGCTATGTATCTTCAGCAGTAACTATCGTACAGTACGGCACTGTTGTGGAATAGTGTCAGTTCCTGCTGTGAAGGGCATGTTGCGGTATGTTTCCCTCAAATTAATTTTGGCCACAGCCACCTCTCGGCCACTAGAACAACTAAATCCTACCTAGATGGTGATAATAATAAAGATATTTAATGTTGCATGGTTCAGATACCTGAAGCCAGACCATAAACGAGCCGAAAACCCATTCGTCCATCGATGTCCTAGTTCAAAAACAGAAAGTTTACAGAAGTTTAGTCGTAAGAAGGCGCATTTGCCCCAGGTCGGTGCGCTTCGAGGGGCAGATGCGTCATGCATGGACCCACCGACATACCAACATCAGACGACGCTAGACCTCCGCCCGCAGCAAATGACTGCAATAATATGGAACAGCGCAACTACTGGAGACATCTCGACAGATGCACACGCTCTATCAAATGCTTCCTCAACAATTTCTTTTTGTAGTCAACGATTTTGCACACCCTTCCTTACTTGCACATTTCACAACGCAAGTAGCTAACCTAGCTAGTCCCCGCGCTCATACATCTGTTGCCCAGTGGCGCCGCTGATGCATGGTGGACAACTGAACATGTTTTGGTGAACGGCACTGGCGAATACAAAAATCGGTGATCACAGGAGCTCCGCGCTCTTCCTGTGGGAAAACACACACCCTCACACACCATTACTTGGTTTGCTGTACTAGCGGCAGCAGCCCTCAGACGGCACAAGCTCATGATCATTCGCGTATCTGGTTTGGAATGCACTGGAACAACCTCCATTAGTGTGTGAATGCGGTTTTCAGCATTCCCCAACATTCCCAGCATTCCCCACAAGGATATATTTCTTCAATGCTCGTGTGGGCTAACTGAGTACAGTGCCTGTGGCGCACGTCGTATTACTATTACTTGACAAACTTTGCGCTGCAGTTCATCCAGGTGAATGCCGAAAAGGGCCCATGACACACACCAAATGCAGAGTCGTCTATATGAGGCCATTTTCATTGCATATCTTTCATTTTGGGCCTGCGGCTCGTGTCGGCCCATTACGCCTTCAGAAAGTAACACGCGACCCAACACGCACATACACATATATCTGACTTGTGCTGAATCAATCAGCGCAACCTGTTTAGCCCCGTTTAGCAAATGTCCGTAGCCACGCAACATGTCAACATGTCAACATGGTCCAACTGCATCCCCCTGGAAGCGGCTTTAACGGCCCTTGGTGGAACGGGTCCGTGGTGGTGGTGGTGGCCGTGGCGGCCTTGGTGATGGTGGTGATTGCGGAGCTTGCGGTGGTGATGGAGGCCGCGGTGGTGGCGGTGGTGGTTGCGGTGGTTGTGGTGACGGTGGTGGTAATGGTGACGGTCGAGGTGACGGTGGTAGTGGTCGAGGTGATGGTGGTAATCGTGGGGGTGAAGGCCTTGGTGGCAGTGGTGGTGGTTGTGGACTTGGAGGTGGAGACGGCTGGGGTGAGCAGTCATTGTCCCTCCCGTCCGGATAGAAGTCGCAATCGTCATCCAAGCCATCTCCGCAGACTTGCTCGCTGTCACTCTTTCTCCTGCACAGTGTGACAGTCGCTACGGGCTTTCCGTCTACATCATCCCATCGCTCAAACCTCGCCACCAGTCCGCTGTCTCGCTCTTCAACTACCTCGCCTTGTCGTGCAAGACCCTCCAGGAAAGTTCGCCTGTACAAACTAGTCACGTTATTGTCTGTACCAGCGTAGCTGTGTAGCAGCAGATACGGCACACCGTCATCCTGTTTCTTAAAGGGCAAATCGAATGGTGGTGTATTGATGCGTGCAGAGAGAAACAAGACTTCATAATCTTGCAGGCCGCTCAGCACCACTGCTAGGGAGCTGTTAGGTGTAGTTATCTGTGACGGTATCTGTACGGTAACGTATTTTCCGTACCCCAGCTCTTTGTTGCCGTACCATTGGAACGGACGGCCCCAGCCAACCTACGCAAAGTATGTTAGGGCAGACACCATGAGAGGAACTGTCAGTGCCTGGATACGTGGTATGTCACGACTTCAGAAAGGTACCGATCGGCGGATGAGCAGGTTTCGTGATATGCCCTCGAGGAAACTACGATATGACACGATTGCAATATCAACGATATTCCTGAAAACAAATTGCAAGGCACAGATTGCACTGCAGCACGTGCCCTCGTGTGTGTCTCTGTGTGTGTCTCTGTGTGTGTCTGTGTGTGTCTCTGTGTGTGTCTCTGTGTGTGTCTCTGTGTGTGTGTCTCTGTGTGTGTCTCTGTGTGTGTGTATCTGTGTGTGTGTCTGTGTGTGTGTCTGTGTGTGTGTCTGTGTGTGTGTCTGTGTGTGTCTGTGTGTGTCTGTGTGTGTCTGTGTGTGTCTGTGTGTGTCTGTGTGTGTCTGTGTGTGTCTGTGTGTGTCTGTGTGTGTCTGTGTGTGTCTGTGTGTGTCTGTGTGTGTCTGTGTGTGTCTGTGTGTGTCTGTGTTG